TCTTTGATATTTTACCAAGCAACGTCTATCCAGTGAAAGTGCTGGTGGAAGTGAAGGAAAGAAAGCAAAAAGCAGTGAATAAAAATTTTATATATATATATATATAAAACAACAATAATTTTTTTAATCTTTTCTAAGTTATTTTTTAAGTTATTGTTACATTTTGTTATGTAAGTTAAGTTTAGCATCATTTCCCTTCTCCCTCTCTTCCACCACCAGTTTGCACCTCCACCGTCATCTATCCTCAAAGGTAAAGTGCAAATAAAACTACATTTTTTTTATTAATTATTATTCTATTATGGTTATTTATACATTTACAACTATAAAATGCATTTTTTAGTGTTTTCCTTACTATAGTTAATGTACTACTTAGCTTTAATTTGAGTGTGTTTTTCGTGTTGGAACAAATTATTTGGTTTTACATGTAATTGTATGGGGAAAAATGATTCACCTTACGACATTTACATGATACAATCTCAGTTTCAGAACGGATTAATTTCATATCCTAAGGTACCACTGTATATATATGTATATATGTATGTAGTATATACACACTACACAAATAATAGTCTCAGCAATATGAGATTGCAATTTGGGATCCACTTTAATATCCAGACTGTTAAAGAACACACTTTCACAGTTGCTTTGCTTTCAATTTTAATATATAGTATCTTTCTTTTTGTTTTTTATCTTCCTTCTCTCTTTTGCATTAATAGCATTTTCTTGCTAATCTGTTTTCCACCTCTTTTGTGTTCTCTCCTGCATGTTGCTGGCATCCAAGGAAATGGACTCTCACCTCTGTCTTTCTGATTCAAGAAGGAAGTTAATATTGCTAGATGGTCACAGATTTTTGCAAGTAGGACCATTGCTAATCACTGCTGGGATGGTAGCAACTATTAAAAATTAGTTGTGAACTCTCTTCTTTTTCCTCTTTGGCCTTAGTCTCACTTGATGATGCGGTTGGCACGGTTGTGAACTGTTACAATACCTATAAAAATATTATTAACACAACCAATATCCTTTATCACAATCTAAATTATAATTCAATCATATTTGAGCTGTTTACATAGAATAAAAGATGTTGTTTGTCATAAGTGTAAAGATTAAATACTTTTACTTTTATATTTTTAATAATCGAAACAAGTATGTTAATTAAATATGTAATTTTTTGTTTCAGATGTCACTCTGAAGTGGTTAATTCTGCATTCTAAATCTAGTCAAAATTAAAATATTTAATTGATGGAAATCAAGAAAAATATTACTTTATCTAATTACAAAAATTAAGCATTACAAGTAATTAATTTCATAATGAAATTACAAAATGCATTCTGTATACATCAGTGTATAGTTCATACTTTGTGAATAGATGTTAAGAAAAGTAATTGTACTGTACCTCTGAAAATGGATGATCAGTCAACATGATTAAAGTATACAGTAACCATTGAGTGATTTGGTAATAGCATACCATAAATGAATGAAGGAGGAAATATATAGAATTCAATGAAAAATGATATTTACATATAGTTATCCTATTTTATAGAAGACCAATTGAAATGATAGATGATATTCTGAAGGCATAAAAACTGAACTTTGAATATTAGTAAGGTAATGATTTTTGCAATTTATTTGTATCCTGGAAAGCAAGTAAAATATATAAGCAATAATCATGTATAATTTCTATGGTGAGTGCAAAATCAGTAAGTATTAATATTAATAAAATTAACTTGTTGGAATGCCAACTAGAATTGTAAAAGTGTTCTTTTAACTTATCTGGTTCCTTTTTCAGTTTCAAATAATTAAATTTTACTTAAATGTTTTGTTTGACCATGAATTTTGGAATTTTGTTTAATCAGTGAATTCATATTTTTACAATAATAGAAAATTTTAATCATTTTGACCCTGTTGTTCATTTTGTTAATATTATGTTAATATGGAAATTGTAACTTGTTCATATTATATAACATATTGGATAATTGTTTAGAAATATTTGCAACTACTTTAATAAGTTTATACTTAACAAAATGAGAAGAAAATTCTAAATTGCTTTATTCAACAAAGAATAAAACTGAAAGCAAATAAAATAACTTTGAGGATAGAGAACTATACTAAAATATAACTGTTCCATAGTCACATAAAAAAGATTTGTTGTGAAGCCTATTGTAATGTCAGTGAACAAAGGCAATTTTCAGTCCAATTCAAGATGAAGACCCTAAACATTTAAAGAAAATAAGTTTGTTGATATTCCAATAGGATGTATTCATGGCTGGCACTAAGATTTTTTGTGCCCTGGACAAACTGAAAACATGGTGTCCTCATGATATCACAGTATTTACAATAATATGTAATGCTTCATAATATATTTAAGATATTTAATTAATAATGATAAATCATAGAAATTGACTAGGGAAAAATTTATCAAATTTCATTAGTCAATATCTTGGCACTACTAAATTTTGGTATACTATGTAGTTTCCCATGTTGCCTGTAACTAAAACCTACTTTAGTATCTACTAATATCTCTCTATTCCAACCAGACATTTTTACCTTCAATAACATTTAATAACAAACTAGTGAATGAAGAGGATTGTAATTGTTTTGTATATTTAGTAGCAGTTGACTGTCTACATCCAGAAATTATTTTATTTACTTGCTATATTTATACATGTAAACACTATTGAGTGGTTTTGAATTATACTAAAGTTTAAGAAAATTTCTGAAACATATCTTTTGTAAAAGATTTTCATGTAAATTTGTAAAGCCTTCTTACATATTTTACATTTAAATTCTAATGTTTTGTCAGAAAGGTAGTTATTTTAACTCTATACAATGTAAATATATACTTAACATTATGAATTTTGATATAAAGGGGTTCCATCTTGATTAGAGCTCTAATAGAATTGATGAATGTTTTATCAATTTGATGAAATTTTACAATTTGTTTTACATGTTTAGAGGAAGATGAATATCTTTACAGTAAGCCTTTTTAATCTGATCCAGAATTCAAATTTCTTCTTATATATTATGTATACTTTTGTATGTTATTTTTATGTAATATATTTTTATGTACATTTTTATATTAAAATATTAAATATGATTATTTGTGTATTCTTAAATTTATAATTATTATTGTGGTGCTGGAATATATCTTACATGGTGCATATACAGTAGTTGTGCCCAGTGCTCTGCTAGACCAAGTCAAGAAAACAAGGGTTATATTTTGTTTAGGTGCTTTTTGTGTGTGTGTGTTTAAGAATTTTCTGATTGGCAAATATCAATCAGAAAATTATTAGAAAATTTGTAGGGTTGCTAAACATTTATTTCAACAGATAGTCCTTTATATTAATTAAACTGTCCTTGTTATTTATCCTTTTCCTAACTAGCTAAAAAGAATAGAAAAAATTCTAGTATAATCTTTTAATTTTAACAAATTACCAAAATAAATTACAAAATTTGTGGTTCCTTTTGGTCTATTTATGTATTAAACACAACGAAAACCCGAGAAACGCCATTCTGCCAACTCGTTCGCCAGACGCGATTAGTGTTTAAAACGGTAGTGTTTTCCATGTGGCAAAAGTAAAAAAAAATTTACTTTGATCTACACATACAACAATGTGTAAATCAAAATGTTAATATTTAATTTCTACGTAATTTGAAATATACTTCCATTATTACATGAAATAACTGGTGACTAAAATGTCATCAGATTTTTGAATTTATAAAAATATTTTTAACTTCTCGTTAAATTATAAATAACCTTATAAATTAACATGTAATCAACTGAATTATTCAGTAACTGCTTTAATTTTATACGAATGTATTTTTAAGAATAATCTAAATATTAGCATATTAAAACGGTGATGTGTTGCTAATGGAAAGTTAGTTACGTTAAATCGACCAATTATGGTACGGACAGCCAGTTTTGCCATTAGGCGATCACCTAGGAGCATCAGCCTTGCTCAAAGAAAAAATGGATCATATATATTACATCTGTAAGTTCTAATGTATGGCGCACGCGCGCGCGCGCGCACACATTTTATATATATGTTACCGCTAAAGCTCGAAATCCGTTAATGTGCGCATTACCTAGCTAATCTGCAGATTAACTAGGGTGATCCGTTAAAGCTGCGAAAATTATTCCATTTCTCAAATTACCTAGGTAATGTTCAGATTATCTAGGTAATCTGCAAATTACCTACTAGGCACTCGGTAAAGTGAAAATAAGATTTTTGCTGGAACAACAGCAACGTTTCTGTACGCTTAAATTAACATAATGTTATTTATTTAATTTTCAATATCTAAAGAATCAAGTTAATACAATCAACAAATTAGTTGATTGAATCAATCATCAATCAATTAAAAAAACTTTAATACAAAAATCAAACGGTTTAAAATATTACTACAATTAGGGAAATGAATTTGCAAAACATATGATAAAATTGTACTTACTTATTAGTGCAATCTAAAGATTGGTGACACTTTGAATTACGTAGCAATTGGTTTTTGCGACAAGCACGCCTATTTGTGGTACATTTAGATTTGCAGTCACATTTTCTGAAACCCTGCCCAGTACCAAGGGATTGTTTTATTGCTGTTTGACGTAAAGATATTTCTACAGCAGGGACATCCATCTTCTTTCGTTAAAAATCTCTCTTTGCAAACACTGAATTCAGATTTTGCATACAATTGTTTTAAAATACCTGTTTTAGTATCAAGTTTATAAAAGCCATCCTCTGTTTTACTAAGAACCACAGCTAAAATTGAACGTGCATCAGTTTTTGCTCTGTCTTCTTCGGGTACTTTAATTCTCACAGCGAAACCTTCATCGACGTTTGGGTGCTTTGCATTAGAAACTGCTAACATTTTCTTTGCTTGCTTTTCTAAACATTTCTTGGCTTCATCACGCTGTATTTTCTGATCCATATTCTTTTTACAGATGATGCACAATACATTCTTACCATACCCTTCCTCTTTAGGATCTACTTCACCACAAACTGCGTGAACAAACATATTACACGATTTACACTTGTGAGCACTTGATGCTGCTTTTGAGCAAACAATACAGACTATGTCTTGTATAGTGCTCTTTACAGGCTCCGTACGAAACTGTGATGGCGATTCTGCTGAAGTTGAGAGTAACTCAGTGATGACTTCTTCAACTTGCAGAGGCGATTCCTTGGAGGTGCAGGGTAACTGAATATTCTTCGTGACTGCATCATCAATCAACGGTATAGAAGGCAGTTTAAGATTACTATCGGTAAATTCTTGTATTTCTATAGGTGATTCTGTAGAAGCGGGGGATAACGGAATGTCCTCTTGAGTAAGATTTGACTGTGATCTCATAATCACAGTCTCTTGTGAATCTTCTAATTTTTCAAGGTCTTCTTCAGTTTTTATCGAATGTCAAACAATTCTCCGGCATGGACAAACTTTTTCAAACCTTTCTCGCGCATCTGACAACGGCTCAATGAGTTTTTCACAGCCTCGTACAGTCAACACATCACACCTTTGAATTATTTGATAATCTCGAGATGATTCTTTCTTCTTGGAAACTTTTATTTGCTTTACATCTTCAATTATGGAATCATACTTTGGTTTGTTATTAAAACACTACGTATTATATTTTAAATCTTCGCTAAAGAGGTTTGCGAAGAATCTTTTCTTGATTTTACTCACCAATTCGGTGCTTGCTTGCATTCTAGGATTTAAATTTATCTACGTAAAAAGAAGGAGTGGGGAAAGGAAGTGAAAGAAACAAACTTTTGAACTTTAACGATACGGAAGCCGTTAATGTGCAGATTACCTAGATACTCTGCAAATTACCTAGGTAATTTGAGAAATTGAACAATTTTCGCAGCTTTAACGGATCACCCTAGTTAATCTGCAGATTAGCTAGGTAATGCACACATTAACGGATTTTGAGCTTTAGCGGTAACATATATATAACTTCAACCTGTAGGCACTAAGAGGACCATTGTAGCAAGTACAGTACAGTACATTATCGGTTCATCCAGTCCACGGCCATCTACATACCTACCAGATCTGAACCTCACAGGAAGAGTGCGTATTGTAAATAACTATTTTATTTAACTATTGTAAAAACTCGATATTTTGAGAATTAAAGTTCATGTTTCGTCAAAATTATGAAACATAGCTTAAATAACAATAACTCCCAGTTAGTTAAAATCCGATATCAAATTACCGTAATCTTTTTTAATTCAAGAGTTTTTATATTAACATCAAAAATCATAACTCAAGACTATTTTTTAAGTGATCGTTTCCCTTACTAGTTTCTGTGAATTTACAAAGCTTAAACTTTTGGCTTTTTTTAAGTAACTTAAATCACACAGTGAAACTTTGATACGGGCTTTATTGTTGCATTTAGAAATGCATTTCAGGTTCTGACCACTCTTCAGTCCTTTTTATACAGATCTTATTAAAATAAGATTGTATAAAAAGTCATTCTTAAATTGCTGAACAGATGTAACGTCACATCTTCAACAATTTGATAATTGAATTATCTACTCGATACAAACTTAAATTTCAATAGCACAATTTCTCTGAAGCTTTTAGGTATTTCATATTATTGTATTTCCGGCTGTCATAATATAATATGTAATTAAAAAGATGGGAAGATCTCTTAAAGTTGAACACGAAAAATTAATGTAATAATACAACGTGATAATTAGGATTTTTAAAACTTTCCACCATGGGATCCTTTTAGCAGACCCATTATGGGTTTGGCAAAGCCTGCAATGGGACAGCCGAGCGGTTACAGCTGGGGTCGACGAATCCGAACCATCACCGAAAAATTTAGATTTTTCGACCCGTCTGGATTAAATCCCGGATTCCCCAGAGCGGTAGGCTCCTTCTTTGACCGCTCGGCTATCCGGCCTACA